AGAGGTATAAAGAAAATGCAAATTAAATTTTTCAACAAAAAGGGAAAAAAAAAAAAAGGTGAATTCATATCTTTTTTTACATTCACAAGAGGCAAAAAGTGAACTTATACCTCACATTGGAACAAACTTCGAATTTGCATCTGTTGTGATGTAAATAAGTATGCAAAAGTAATTTTAAAGATACCAATTTACACTCAATTTTACACCACCATTAAAGATGCTCTGATTATGTGAAACACAACCCTTGCATAGGTTCATTCAAATCAAATTGATCCATTCCAGAAAGAGGTCTAACATAGTTTGCAGTTACAATTTAGCATTAACTTGAATGATATATTTCTACTTAAGATGTTGTCAAAGGGGTTTAATAACCAATTAATAGCAAATGCTTTTCTTAGTGCGGATTCTATTTAGAGAAGTTTGTAAATTGATCTATTTATAAGTATTGCTTTTACTGCTATTGTCTTTTTAGAGATTACTGCCTGCACTTTGTCCAAAACCTGTAATTCACAATACTGATGAAATTTACCCTATATTATTCATAATCAAGTTTAGAAATCCACCTCAAATCCTATTTGTTGGACTCACATTCATTTTCAAGTTTGCTCATATATTAAATTTTTAAATACGAACTAGGTTTTTCATAACCTTACATTGACGCCTATAGTTCTCAATCATCAGTGACTTTCCCAAATTTGGCCTTTTCAATTTTAGAAAATTCTACTTGTACATAATTATTGCGCATAATGGTGTTCATAATGTGATGTGGCAATTATCCGATTGTTGATGTGCAAGTGTGATATTTGAATTAAAGGTTGAATCCAGTATCACGTGTAATTATGGACACTATTATGTAAACAATTATGTACATATAGCACTTCCGTTCAATTTTTGTATAAGCGAGCCTTTGTTTATCCATAATTTTACTCGTTACTACCAATTCACAATCTATAATAGGGTAAATAGCACCGACGGTTCCAAGTTATGAAGATGAGATTCTAATTTTTTTATTTTTAGCACCTGGGATCCTAGACTTTTCAAACGTCCTTGCTTGAAGGTCCTTTTCAGATGGAATTGATCAATTTGACCATTAAACGGTAAACTTTTGAGTTAACCCCACCAATGTAATTTTGGTTAGATTTAAAAAAAAAAAAAAACAATGAATAAAAAAGTACAAAGGAAATTTTTTTTAGACACTCCCAACCACCCCCTTGCACCCACCACGTCCCTCTCTCGGATTTCGAAATGGGAAAGCCGGAGGATTTTGGTAAATAGGAATTCCTCTTGTGGGCCTCAAGAAATCGTACTCTGGGCTTAGCACTTAAATATTTCCGGTGGTGGTGGACGCGTTCAACACACGTTTTGAATCATGCAATTGAATTGAGGATTCGACCGTTGAATAATAGTCTAATTGTGCATATTGATGACAATGTATTTAATAATATTGCAATCAATGTAACAGTATGAAAACTTGTGGGCAAAGTTTGTAGAACGAATTGAATTAAATTATTTTTATTAATATTATGGTGTTTGAAATTTTTTGTAACTTAATTTTTGACCCACAGTAAAAAAAAATGTATAATTCTATTACTAATTCGAGAAGGAAAATCAAAGTTTCAAGTCCCCAATCATTACAAGATCTAAAGGTTTAGGACCCTCAATTTTATTTACCCTTAATAAATGAATTTTACGGAGTGTGCAGAGGTTTTACAGGCACTCACATGTGGGATCCGCCTGTATAAAAAGAATGCCAAAACCCCACCCATGCAACCAGTGCCTGCATCTACTCAAGCAAGGTTCTTAAAAAATAAGGTCATTATACAGAAAAAATATCTGTGGAGAATAATCATTAAAAAATGCATGATTTTTAGTGGGTTTGTTTTGGTTAAACCATTTTTTTTTTTCAATTTTGCTACGGTTATATCAAGTTTGATATTGTTACGGGGTTACATCTTTTTATATATTAATTTTAATAACATTTTAAATAATCAATAGCAAAATTTTAATGTGTTTTAAAATGTCAAACTTAGGCCCCATTTGGGAGCGATTTTGAGAATTGACTTTTTAACCGTTAGAAAAAAGTAAGGATCATATGTAAGAGAAGAAGTCAAACTTACTGTTAAAATAATGAAATAACGATTAAAAAATTAATTTTTTGAAATGAAAAATCACTCATTTAATTCAATTTTATATATGTGTGTGTCATGTCGCAACTGTGGAAATAACTCTGGTCAATATACATCTTTGTCATTAGGCCCCTTTCTGGTGGCCTACAAAAAGTTCAGACGTTGATTGGTCGGTGGTTCTGCCTTGTTTTGTAGCAATCAATGAAGGACGTCGTAGAGCCCAATTTAATAGATACCACGAGTGTATCCAAACAAAAAAGTCAACAACTTCGGCCCCTTGACAAGATAGCTTTTAGGGCTCTGCTTGCTGAGTGTACAACAAGTTGTACACCCCTCTCACATGAGTGGTGAGAGGGGTGTAATCTTGTAAGAACAAATTTACCCTAGCTTTTATATGGAAATTTATAATTTTTACGATATATTTTATTGAGTTTGGCTATGTGTATAGGAGTTTCATAGTAAGATAAATATACATGTACAAACAAATGTATATAAATAGGTTACTTACTCTCATAAATAAGTGGTGTCCATGTAAATTTAAAAAATGTTGGCTCGTGATCCCTACCTCCTATTGTGAGTAATAAGTAAAGAATTTTGTAAAAAATATTTGTAAGTGTAGTATGATCATTCATAGAATCCTGTTAGAACACACACGATAGGAGAGGATTTTTTTGAATTTTTTATGAAGTGGGTCTCACATGAGAAGCCCACCTGCTATATGTGTTCTGGAGGGGTTTCACACAGCAAAATTCTATTTTATTAGTCTCACAATTTTTATAATTTTTTTAAACGCGAAGTTTAAAATTTTATTAAAATGTAGTAAAAATATGAATTTTTTTAGCAAAATCGAATGAGAGCAAGATGAATAACGTCTTTAGTTGACTTTTATTTTGCATTGCTTTTCGCATCACTAGAAGATTATCCCCACTTTGACGTTCTCTTATCCGTTTCCAATTTTTACTACGGGTTTAATCGTTAGTAATTATGAGAATTGATTTTTTGACCGTTAGAGGAAAAAATGGGTTCACCTATGAATGAAAAAGTAAAAAATGATGGCTGAAAAAAATGAAATAATGGTCAAAAAAACTAATTTTTTGATATGAAAAATTGCTACTATACGAGACTAGGTTTTTTCCCCGATAACCAATAACTATTATACAATGCACAAGATGACATGTCACGAATATTACGATCATATGTACAAAGTACGGATCATCTTCAAGTGATATGATAGGTGATACATGATGAAATAATAAAGTCAATTAAATCATGAATTGCACAAGAGCTGACCCTAAACCGTTGATAAACCTTCACCCTCTATTTGATTTAGTTAATTATTGATAAAATTTAAAATTCATTTCAAATACCACATTCTTTCAATAAAATAATTTTACAAGGAGAATCATAATTTTACCTACTTTTTAACTATACATTCTCCCAAAAAAATAGATTTTCAAAAAATTCAAAATTTACATCAAACGGTTCGTTAATTCTGAAAAACTTGTAAAATGAAAATGGCCATATACCTTCACGTCCCATTACTGGTTAGTAGCAATTAGTATTTAACCCGCGACATTAAGATCTTCAAATAGAAAGGATGATTTTTAACTTCAACTTAGCCCTTGTTTGGTCACAATTTTTTCCAATTCATTTTTCCTCAAAATCTTTTTTAACCATATATTTTATATGATTCACGACTTTTATCAACTTTTGAACAATTCATTTAATTAACTTTTATCAAAATTTAATTTTTCTCCAGTCTAAATAGGAACTTAGCTTATAACCTTGTTTGCCTAGACTTGTGCATAAGAATTTTCGCTACGACATGTCCTCATGTGTAAATACTCGGAGACTTTTATACCATTTTGTCGATTAGTTATGTTTTTATCAAGCGTTGCACTACATCCCCCACACATGACGAGGGCTGTATAAGTGCTGTACATTTAGAATTTCCTTTTTATCAATATATTTTGATTGTAGTTCTCCTATCACAATTTTAAAAACTTAAACCTTGTTTTACAGAGCTTTTTTAATTTTACATGCTGGCGAGTCTCATTATATGTATAGTTAAAAGTGAATACAAGTTCTGGATTTTTCAAATTTTTTCCCAACAAAACCCATGTTTGGCGGGGATTTAAATAAGATCCTTAGTATATTTTGATAGAAAATAATTAAATTTGAGGTTGAAACATTACGAGTCTCATAAAATATGTGATTAAAATGAATTATTGTCTTTAATTTAACTCTTGTTTGATGGCCATCATAAAGAAAAATTAGGAAAATGATGTTTTGAATAATAATTTTTTGGAGAATGTAGATAAAAAATAGAAAAAATTTAAATTTACGTGTAAAATATTTTATTATTTAAATATATGGTTGAACATAAATATGAAAAATAAAGAATTTTATTTTAAAAAGGGTCAAAAAGAACTTAAATTAAAATTTTAATTCTTATTCATAACTTAAATTAAAATTTTAATTGGCATTTTTGATAGCTAAGCTCTTATTTGACTTTCTTAAAATTTAAAAATATTTTGTTGAATAGTATTTTTTTTTTTTGAGAGTATATGATTAAAAAGTAAAAAAAAAAAATTCTAAATTTGTGTATAAAAATAAATATGATCGTTTGAATCACATTAATGTAAGAATGAGAATAAAAAATATAGTCGTTATGAGCCATATACAAAAAATAAAAAATTATATATGATAATTTGATGTGATGAATAACGATTATATTTTTTTAATTTTAACGGATAAATAATGAAAAACAAACGGGGCTAAATTGATGTAAGGGATGTCCAACGGTAGCTAAATAGAACAAATGATTAGTACAACATTGAACGAAGAAATTCCTCGGAAGACCGACAACTAGCAGCATTTTTTCCTCTTCCGTACACACTCCTTCCAGTCAAGTTTGACAGCTACGTACCACCAAATTTACACCGCTAAATATTAAGTATCCTGCAGTTGTGAATTCAAAGACTACACGATTGGCATCTTCATTCAATAATTAATCCATTCCATTCCCACCCTCAATCATTGATTCCTTCAAATATATAGAAATCTCCCCTCCTTTTCCTCCTCCTGCCCTTCTGTGTGTGTTGAACTGAAAAAAAAAAATGGCGAATTCAGTTGATGCAAATTCTACCAAGTGTTTCTCCGGCTTCGCACGGCGGTTGTTGTGCGGTGGAAGCCTCCCAACACACCCATCTGATCAGCTTGTCGAGTCCAAGAACAGCAAAGAAGTTGAGAAGCCTGAAAGTACTTTATTAAAGTCTGATGAGGCAAAATTGAAAGCTGCAGAAACTCCTGGAGTGGTGGCCAGATTAATGGGTTTAGATTCCCTGCCAGAAGATATCAAGCCAAAAAATAAAAATCTGTCTTCTTATTTTCGAAGCAGGTCATTGAATTCCATTGACTTTCTTGCACAATTTGATGTTTCTTGTAAACAATCCCCGGCCCAGCATAGAAGATTAAGAACATCTGTGTCATTTCGTGAAGTCCCTTCTCTTGATCTTAAAGGAAAACATGATTTTGACTTGATTCTGCACTTTGAGGAAGTAGAAAATTGTAAAGCTACAACCAAACGTCAAGAAAGATCGGAGGTGAAACAGAAGAAGGTACTCAAGAAAGAAAGCAATCAAAGCTTAAAAGACCAACAATATCTTATGAAGAAATCTGAGGATAAGCCCAAGAAATTGCATGCTAAATTATCTTCAGAAGTTGGCTACAGTACTACACCTCGGAAGAAGAATGTTAGTAGAAAAACAAATGTGGACTTGAAGGAAAGAAGGCCAGCCAAATCACAGTATTCCAAGAACCAAAAGAAAAAAAATTCTCAGTACAACCCAAAAAAATCACATTCTTTCTCCGTTTTTGATGAAACTCAACATTATCAGATGCACCCAGTAGCCACTCCATCATCATCAGGTAAATTAAACATATAATAATTCCTAGGAATGCTGAATTTCCAATGGTGTGTTTAATATGCTGGATTGAATACTTGTGTGAAATGATGAATATTGATTGTCCTGCAGAAGTTTTGCCCGTACTGCAACGTTCAAACAAACCTATACGGCATTCTAACTATGGAGAACTCAAGGCAATCACTGACGAACGTGATCACAACAAAACGATGAAGGAAGAGAGTTCTTACAACCTAAAATTGGTCGAAAATGTCCGTAAGTTGACAGAAGATGATCTAAAGGAATCTCGTTGGGCACCCAGTCAAGTCTTGAAGTTCGAAGATTTTGAAGATATATGTGTGCATCATGGGCAACAAATATTTGAGTTATTGCTGAATCAAGTTGTTGATGAGCTTGTGCTGCTTCACAGGAGAAAGGGATTCTTTCCTATGCATGTTAAAGAAAGAAACAGAGATTTGCAAATGAAAAAACTGTGTAGATAATAATTTCTGAAAATTAAGTTGGTGCAAAACAGAGACTTTTTTAAATGTTCTGATCAATGTTGAGGCTGATTCTAGAGTTACTGATGAGTACTTTCAGCACCATTATTGCAAAGAAAAAATGCTTAAGCCGATCGAGCACCTAATAAATGAGCCCTAGTGGCAGGGCTTCTATTTTTATTTTTAACTTTTGTAGTAGAGCTTTTTGATAAAGTTACTTTATATCGTTTTTCTCTAAAAGTTATTTTAGCCAAACAAAATACTTTCAGAGAATTTTTGAACACGCTCGAAAATAGTTACTTATCAAAATACATCTATGTTTTCTGATTTGATAAATTGAAGATATTCAAAATTTTGTATATTTTCATTATTTTATTCAAGTGTTAACAAAAATATAAGAATTTGGATGAAGAAATAGAGTTTTTTATAATATTTTTTTGACCAATTTTTCGTAGGAAAAATTGTAGCAGCGGCCCCAAATGTTTTCAATTTTTTCAGACTTTACTCTAATCTTCAATGTGTATCAGCAGAGGTCCCTAACATTTCATAAATATTTACTTGGAGTCCATCTAGATGAAAACTATCCATGAAACCGTCCGTTGACTAAGAAAAGTGGACTTTGACCATTTTTGACCAAATTAAAAATGGTAAAATGGTAACTCTATATATTTATAAATATTGACAATCAAAATAATAAAACTAAAAAAAATCTACCACAACCCTCCACCCCATTCATCTTCATCTTCTCCAACTACAAAAAGCAAGGCAAAAGTACATAAACATGGAGGCAAGTTCACCCTTGAATTTCTCGAACAGAAAAGACGGCAAATGCTTGTACCCATCATAATTGCTTAAAGCTTTTACTGGATACTGTTGCCATAGTGAGTTGGTTGCAAAAAAGGGCCCTCCAAGCCATTCTTGTTTTCCCTTCTTTTTCTCCAAATTTAAATTTGGACAAGAAAATGAAATTTTAAATTGAAATCAGAAACAGATTTCAGCCATTCTTGCTTTCCCTTCGTTTTCTCCAAAATTTTCTCCTCTCTTGAAGACCAAAAATTTAGAATTTCAGAAGAAATAAAAAACTCAACTGGTATTTCGATGTATGATTTTTGATTGTGTTGCAGACTCATTGGGAAATGGTCTTTCCTTGTGGTTGCATTGAGTTTACGATAATTAATGTAAACTCGCCATCCCGTCACTGTTCCGGTAGGAATTAACTCGTTCTTCTCGTTTGGCACTAACATGATTCCACCTTTCTTTGGTAAAACTTCAACTAGGCTGATCCATGTACTGTCTGTATCGGATATATGATGATTGCACCTAGTAGCTTGAGGACCTCTACCTGACCATTTCCTATATATTTGGATTCAACCTCATTTGACTCTTTATACTTGGCCGAAAATTCTGCTCAATGAGAATCTTATGCATACATAGTGAAGGCTGATCCCTTTAATATCTGTTATAATCCTTCCAATCACTATTTTTTTTCCTGAGTACTCTAAGCAATTTTTCTTCCTCCACCTCGTTGACTGTGTTAGAGATAATGACCGAAGTGTACACGACTCCCCAAGTAGGCATATCTAAGATGTGGTGACAATTATTTGAGTTCCAATGTAGGTGGCTGTTGAATGGATGATAGTGGCTTTGTGGGTCCCGTTCCAAGCTCCTCAAAGTGCCTGTTGCGTGTGTATGGTAGGTTGCTCTCCAAAAATCTTGTACGTCTCAATCTCTAGAGAATCTGAATTTATTAATTGAGAGTATGCGATGCATGCCTCGTAAGCATTTGATGGATTGTGAAGTGGGAATGTGTCTCGAACCACCTTATCAATTACGTCAATCTTAAAATAGCTATCTGACTTTGTAGGGAACTTCATAGCCTTCAAGGCATTAAAAGAAATCGACTCTTCGCTAAGTCTTAAAATTAACTGCCATTTCTGAACTCAATTAGAGCTTTGCCAGCGGTCAAGAGTGGTCTGCTCAGTATCAATGAAATATCTTTGTCTTCCTCCATATCCATAATGAGAAAATCAACAGAGAATATGAATTTCTCCACTTTGATTAGCACGTCTTCTATTATCCCTCTTGGTTGTGTTAAAGACCTGTCAACTAATTGCAGCGTCATAGTAGTAGCCTTGGCCTCTCCTAATCTATGTTTCCTGAAAATAGATAGAGACATTAAATTGATGCTTGCACCAAGGTAACATAAAGTTTTTATCAAAATAAACTTCAACAATAGTGCAAGGGACAGTGAAGTTTCCTGGATCTTTCAATTTTGACGGGAGCTTTTTCTAAATTCTCGCACTGCATTCTTCAGTTAATATCATCATCTCATATTTCTCTAACTTGCTTTATTTGATAAGATGTCTTTTAAGAACTTGGCATAGATAGACATCTGAAATAATGCACTGACGAATGGGATGTTTATGTAGAGCTTCTTGAAAACTTCAATGAACTTTTTATATTGTTGTTGCATCTTCTAGTTCTTCAACCTCTGGGAAAATGGAATGGAAAGCTCATAAGGGTTGATTGTAACTGTTGCCTTATCTCGTGATGTCCTTGAACCTTCTTTTGGGGTGGATTCCTTTATTTGTCAATCTTGCTCTATAGTCTCTTCTTCTATAGGAGGTGTTGTCTCTTTATTTAGATCCGACCTCTTGACATGTATTTTAGGTAGTTTCCCTCACTTTGAGCTGTAATTGCCTTAGCATGCTCATTTGAGTTGATTTTCGTGTTGCTTGGCAAACTACCTGGAGCTCTGCCATTCAAAGCAATTGCCTTCTGTCCCATTTGAATTTTCATACTTTTGATGGCGGCATTTTGATTTTGAAGAGTGGCTTAGATTTTTCTCATGAACTGATTGTTGGTTTTCATGCACTGATTGGTCTTTTCTATGAACTTTCCAAACATCTTTTTCAGTTGAAGCTTCTTCTATTACTGTTGGAGCTAATCTTGTGGCCTATTTAGATTTTGGTTGCTCCAAGAGAAGTTAGGGTCCTTTTCCAAGCTCGAATTGTATGTTTCCCCAAATGAATTATTTTTGTTGGTGTTGTTCCCATTGAGCAAAATCTACATGTTCCATTCCTTGTGCTAAGATTGGGCACTTTGCTGTTATATACTCAGCTCCATATTTCTCACAACTGACCTTCTTAGTCTGTGATGTGCGTGCTGATTGTGACATGTTTTTCACTTTGTGAAATAGTGAGTCAATCTTTCCATATAGGGTTGAATACGTATCTACTTCATAGACTCCCGATGTCTTCTTCTGAATTGCTCATTATGATGTCCACATAGTCGATGTAGTAGCCATTATCTCGAATAGCTTCAGTGCCTCGTCTAGTTTTTGTGGACAGTGACCCGTTAGATGAGGAGTCAATCATGCTTTTGAAAGCTGGAAGTAATCCAGCATATAAATATTGGACTTGGAGTCCCTTACTTATCCCGTGATGTGGACACTTCTGTAGCATGTTTTGAACGTATTCCAAGCTTTATCAAAGGTCTCTGAGTCACCTTGATGAAAAACAAATATGTCATGCTTTAGCTTTGCAATCTTAGCGGGCGAGAAGAACTTAGTGTATAACTTTTGTGCCAGATCGATCCATGTAGTTATGCTGGCTATTGGTTGAGAGTCCAGCCATTCAATTGTTTTATCACGCAATGTATGTGGGAACAGCCTGAATCTGATAGCATCATCTGAGATCTCCTGATATCTTAAGTGTAGGTTTTCTTCATCTCTGCCGTAAAACTGATGTACATTCTGAAATAATTTTATCTCATTGGTCTTCAATTGAAAGTTAGCTGCCCAAACGGTGATACACGATGCTGGATTGGCTTTAGATTATTTGAGGAGTCATGAAATCTCCTACAAGCATGTTGCCTTCTCATTAGCCATTTGTTGTTGTTGTGCTTCTCTAGTTTCTCTTTGTAGTCAATGAAAAGTTCGCTCAATTTCTGGATCGGATAGAATTAGCTCTCATCCAATTGAACTTAGCATGCAAATTTACGAGAAGACCAGTTGTAGCACTTAGACACTAAAACAATAAATTGAATAACAAAACAAAATATAACAAAGAATGCAAAAAATAATGTTTGAATTAGTGCCAAGGTAAAAAAGATTAAACTAATGCCCAATTCCTAGCAACGACGCCAAAAACTTGTTCATGAAATAATGATTTCAATTTAAATCCGCAAGTGTATGGTTAGTAACAAGTAATAAAGTGAAAAATTGAGTCTGAATGTCGTCCCATGAAAATTGAGTAGTTTAATTTTACCTAACTCAACCTTAACCGAAGCCGATTTGTCAAACGTGATTTATTGTAATTTAAATTAAACTTAACTTAAAATAAATATGCAAATTTGTATGAATCGATTGAACTAAAATGCAAATTGAACAAAATTTTGATCTAGTAAATGAAAATAAAGTGCACTAGGATCACGAATCTTCAAGCAATCCTCACTTTTAACCCTAATTCCACAAATTGACAACACATTGAATTTTTGAAGAATCAATGCTTCTGAATCCATCCAACAATTTCTCTCGAGTAGTGTTGAATCCACTCTCATATACCACAGCCTAAATCTCTATGATGAGTGCAAATAAACAAAAATGCATGTGATTTTGTGAGCACTTAAAGGTTCACGCAAGGCATGGAGGTATATCTCTATCTCCTATCAGACCCTACGATGATTTATACCCTGTCAAACTTATTCTCCTTCTCTTGAATGCATGAAATAAGTCATCACACTCACACAATTACGTCCATATAATCATGGAAGAAATTAATTGTATATAAACCATTCAAAAAATTCCATAATATATTTTGATGTCAATTTTGTAAAACAAGAAATAAAAAATTCACATTACAAGATTCATCGATCTCCTAGTACTCGAAAATCTAGCCTATCATGGAGAAATTAACAAAATACACAAAAACTTTAAGGAACAACATTACCAGTGTAAGAATTGGAGTGTAATCCCGTCGATCTTCGCGTTCCTCTTCGTTATTGTGGCGCAAAATCACCTCCAAGATGTGTTATTTTCTCTTCCAATGCGTTCTCCTCTTAATTTGACAACCCTATGGTTTTTATACAGGTGTCACGGTTTGTTTCCATAAGAGTTTCAAATGGAGAAGGAAATCGAAAATCCCACGCTAGAACACAACCATGCGATCGCATTGTTCACACGAGGCT